ATTGCCACTGTTGTGCGTCAGACTCCAACAGGTAGAGTTCAGTATGAAGTAAGCAGCTAAACAGAAGCAGTCTGCCCACCTCTGGCCTACACACTTTCAAGCTTGTAATTACTTTTTAAATGGCTGCTTCTTTCTGGATAAAAGTTGATATTCTCAGGAAGCTGAGTTTTTTTCTACCAGAATACGGCATTTATGGAATTATAACACACATTGGGCCCTTCTGTTATGCTGTGACATGTATCCCCAAGCGCTATCCCATGAGTGCCATCATCCCGGAGGAGTCCGATAGCCATTTTGGCCAGTAATGGAAGACACAAGATTGGGAAAGGCTTCTCTCTGAGCTAAACCCTGCCAAACAGTATACTATCTCAAAAAAGCTTTTTAAAAAGGTTTGTATAGCGATAGATGTCCTTATGAAAGAAAGAGAGAGAAGAAAGAAAGAAAGAAAGAAAGAAAGAAAGAAAGAAAGAAAGAAAGAAAGCCTATAGTCATGACGATGACCTATGGTACACGTGCTAGAGATGGCTCACAAAGCCATATTGTCAGATGAAGCTTTTCTGCTCTAAATTTTATATGTTACACTATGTACAGAATCCTAGGGTCAGACGGGTCTGCAAATGTCATCTAGTTCAACCCTCCTGCCATGCAAGAAAACACAATTACAGCACTCCTGAAAGATGCCCATCCTATCTCTCTTTATAAATTCATATCCTTAAAGTCTTCCAAAGAAGGAGACTCCTTCCCTCCAACCTCACCCCCACCCCCAGCTATCTAATCCACTGCTAGACAATTCTTACAGGAGAGAGCTTTTTCCTAATGTTTAGGTGGAATATCTTCTTGTGTAATTTGAATCCATTGGTTCATGTTTCTGTCTCTGGAGCAGCAGAAAACAAGCTTATTCCATCTTCTACATGGCATTGTTCAGATAGCTAAAGATGGTTATCATGTCACCTCTCAGTCTTCTCCTAGCTAAACATACCCAGTTCCCGAAGTCCTTCCTCATAAGGCTTGGTTTCAAGACCTATGATCTCTTGGTCACCCTTCTCTTGACACATCCCAGCTTGTCAATATCCCTCCTGAAAACTGGTACCCAGAACAGTATTCCAGGTGAGGTCTGGCCAAAGAAGAACAGAATGTCACTATTACTTTCCTTGATCTGGAGGTGTAAATTTTCATTTTCAAGGAGGCAATGTCTGCACTTTTTTTTCTTTAAGAAAGGAGGCCTACAGCCACGATGGCAGACCTATGGCACGCGTGCCACAGATGGCACACGAAGCCATTTTCCCCAGCATGTGGAGGGCATGCTCCTGTTCCTCCTCCTTCCTGGCCATCCCAGGTCTTCATCTAAATGTCTCACAAAACAGTTCCCAGAATTCCCTAGCATTGATACAGGAGCAGTTAAAGCGGTCTCAAACTAGATTATTTCTGCAGTGTGTTTTGGACAGTGTGTCATGTTTTGGCTTCCCTATCGGCCATTCTTTATTCTCTCCCTTGTAACTTCAGCTTAAGTCAATTAGAGGTAAAGAAATTATTCAAAAGGAATAAGACCATTATTACACTCATTCCTTTCCCCAGGTGCTAGTAAAAGGAACCTTTCTCGAAACAAAGAGAAATACCCTTTAAGAAGACACTTTACAATCTACTTGGATTGGTGTGAAGATTCAGTCAAGATCCTATTCCTTTGAATATTCTCAAGCAAGAGGAGGGTTTGTTTCATTTCATCAGGGAAAGATAGTACACAAATCTTTTAAAAAGGAGAATAGTTAAAAATAGGTGACACATTCATTCCAGGGTTTCTGCAATCTTATCACCAGTGAGCAAAAGTTACATAAATCAGTGAGAACTACTCCTGAATTCAAGTTTATTTTATACAATGATACCCTGAAATTTGTATTTTCTTTACATTAAAACACAAGAAACCCCCATGCTTTTGTCTCCCTCATGGTTTACAAGTAAATGTAATGGGAAAAGCAGACAGTGGCAGCATTTTCAATATTATAGCATCTACCTTAAGCCTTACAAGGTGGGCACTTCTACTAATCATATTTTATGTAAATGCATCTGAGGAAGTAGATTTAAGTCTACAAAAGCTCAAGCTGCCAATTTCTTCCTTTAGTCTCAAAGGTGCTGCAAGATCTCTCTACATATATATTTTATGTAATATGATGTTAACTGCAGGAAAAACTAAGTATCTGTTCACACTAAAATCTTTTTGGAGGTAAACAAATTATTAAAGAAGAGACTGGGTTTGTGCACGCTGTGTTCTGATGATCATGCTTATTTATAGTCTCCAATATTACACAGGTAAAAAAGTGAAATACAGCCATACTTTTCAAATCCTACGCGCTGTATACTGTATTTCAGAGGAAGGGACTGGAAAAAACACCTCTCAGTATTCCTTGCCTAAGAAAACCCTATGAAACTCATGAAGTCACTGTAAGTGAACAGGCAATTTGAAGGTTCATGTACACAAATTCCTATGCAAACAAAGGTCACTATACGATGTCTCTACCACACACTGCTGAAAAGATTTATTTACTCAGTATATAGTCCCAGTGTAATGGGAGAGACTGTGACTCAATGAAGGAGTTACTTTGCATGGAGAAGGTCCCAGATTCAATCCCTGGCATCTCCGGATTGGAGATGAAAAACTATTGTCTGAAACCCTGGATATCCATCAAGTTAGTGTCACCTATTGACAACTAGAATTCAAAGATATAGCCATGTTAATCTGTAGAATCAGTATGTAGAGAGATCTTGTAGCACCTTTGAGACTGAGCTAAAGAAGATGGCAGCATGAGCTTTCGTAGACTTCAATCTACTTTCTCAAATGAGGATGATACTATATACTATTATCAACTAGTATCATCTCTCAGTAATGCTTTAGCTGTGTATTCCTAGCAGAGGATTGGACCTTTCAACTCTGATTCTGTGAGCTCTAGATCAGGGGTAGGCAACCTTTCCCTTTTAAGGGCCGAGGGACTTCAGCTCCCAGAATCCCAAGAGCTATTGGCCAACATGGGACTATTGGCCAACATGGCTGAGGCTTCTGGAAGCTGAAGTCCCTCGGTCCTAAAAGGGGAAAGGTTGCCTACCCCTGCTCTAGATAAAACAACAGCCAGTAGCTTCCCATGTCACAATATTACAAAGTACAGTGAAAACCTTTGGTATCCACAGGGGTTAATGTGAGTGTAGATAATTCTGACAAATGTAGGAGCTTTTTGGTATGAGAGCTTAAAGCTGCATCTCCATATGCTTTGGAGTTGTGCATGAAGGCAGACACTTTTGTTGCATTTCTGCATTCAGTGTAATTGGAACTCATTTCAAATGCACAGATGGATCAGAATTATTAACCTTTAAAAGAGGGTGGCCACTCTATCCCTACATGAGTCACAGCTCTTGTGTTGCTCCCCTTCAAACTAGGACTCATACCAAGGGCAATAAGTCACAACAAAGGAGATAGGCAAATGTTAATCTCATACCTTCTAAAAATAACCATTTGGGGCTGAGAGAGTGAAGTGTACCCTACCTCAGCACTCATATGCCTTTAAAACACACTGGCCTCATACAACTTGAGCAGAAGCACACTGGTTCAGAAACTATATACAGGACCCCTAAAGAGATTTATCCGAGATGTTTCAATTTTTCTCTAAAATGGGCTATGTCTACCACAATTGGCCCCCAAGAGTTTTCCTATTGATTCTCCCTGACATTTTCAAATACCACAATTTCAAATTCAATTCATTGGTTATGGAGTGGTAGTGGGCAGAGGAGAGGGAGGCCATAATACAAGTAAATAGACTAGAAGATACTGAAGTCCAGAGGTTCAGAAACTAGGCAAACCACCTTCCTAAGAATTAAACTTTGTGTGTTTCCTTCTTGGCACGCTGTCCGACCTGAATAATAAAAGCTTACAAGCCAGCAGCCTTCTTGGCAGGATGAAGCAGAGAAAGGAAACAAAACTGGACAATATGTCTCTGGGCTGCCAAGATAGATTGTGTAAAACATTGTTATGAAGTCTCCTATACACCAAGATCCAAACACACTGGAAAATATTCTAGAGACACAATAGCAGAGAGCTGCTTTATTGCAAGCAGTCACATACCTTGGTAAAGATTTTGGTAACTAATATAAATCAATAAGAGTTGAAGAGAAGAGTTTCTCGTGAGATCTTAATGAAACAGCTGTAAAAATAAACTTGTCAGCAACCACTTCCCCTGGACCTTCTCTTTTTGATCTTATTATTTAGAAGTATAAGAATCTGCCTAGTGCATAGGAACATAAGAAGCTACCTTATACTGAGTTATACCATCAGTCCATGTAGTCCAGTACCGTCAATTTTGACTGGCAGCTGTGCATCTCCAGGGTTTCAGATTAGATTCTTTCCTAGCTGGATGATGGCTGATATAACTTGTGTTCTCCCATCCAAGCACTAACCAAGCCTGCTTAGGTTCCAACATCAGATGAAATGAAAAATCTATTATTACAATATTAAAACAAGTTACATATTAAAAGAATAAAATACAATTAAAAATGTTAAAAATACTTATAAAAAGTCTTTTTAAATACTTTTAAAAAGTATACTAGTTTTCAAGGTGACTTGGTGACTCATTATTTTCTGAGCCAGTAGTTCCCAAGCTTGTGTTCCCAGATATGTGTGGACTTCCAATCCAAGGAGCTACAAGCATGGCCTGTCATTTGGGATTCCAGGGGTTGCATCTCAACAACATCTGGGGATTCAGAACTGGGGATGACTGGCAGTTGGTCATCAAGGTTTCAGACTGAGTCTTTCTGAACCCTTTCAGGAGATGCTGGAGAATGAACCTGGGAGTCTTTGCATTCAGCAAATGTTGTCTATCACTGAGCTACAAACTTTGCCAAATCAAATACACACATACAAATCAAACTACAGTTGCCATTCATTAACAAATTTGATAGTGCTCTCTGTACAATGTATGGAGTAATATAATGCAGTGCTATAATGTATGGATGCTAGAAGAGCCAGTGTGGTGTAGTGGTTTAAATGTTGGACTACAACTCTGGAGAACAGGGTTCAAATCCATGTTCAGTCATAGAAACCTACTGGGAGACCTTGGGCGAGTCACATGCTCTCAGAAAATGCAAGGGAAAACCCAAAACAGGGTTGCTATATGTTGGAAACAACTTGAAGGCATCCAACAACAGCAATGCAAGCTAGAGCTTCAACTGTGGCCAGGAGTGCATTTGAACAGTTAAAACTAGTGTGTCAGCTGTACTTGTTCCTGGGGACATCAGTTCTACCTATAATGACACATGCTTGAATTACATTACTTTGGATTACTGTAATATACTCTTTAGTAAGGAAACTTCAGCAGGTCCAAATTCTATATAGTTGGAATGCAGCCAGCTTCCGGGAATATATAACTCTCTTGCTTCAAACCACTTTATGGGCCATTGTTTTGTTTCTGTGCACAAGTCAAAGTGATGGTTTTGATCTATAAAGACCAATGAAGTGGAGATCCAGGACATCTAAAGGAATTTATTCATTTTATTCAACCATGGTTCAAAGATAGTCATTTTAAAAAATTCCAGGAAGCGATCTTTGACTTTACCATGTTATATAAAAGATGCCATCTTACTGTGATACTGCATATAATGGGACTTAAGTAGCCATGGATTTTGGTATCAACAGGGGGTCCTGGAACGAAACCCCAGCAGATACTGAAGGACCACTGTATCTCCATATACGAGTCTGCCAAAATCTTAAGAGCCTCAGGGAAGGGCTTTTTCCACGGTCCCATCATCCTCTCAGGCTGTTTGGTAAGGACTTGTGAAAGAGCCTTCTTGAGGGCTCCTCCCAGATTGCTGAATTCCTTCCTAAAAGATGCTAGCCTGGCCCCCTCTCTGTTCACTTTTTGCCCCCTTTTATTTAAACAGGCATTTGATGAGTAACAGGTTGTGCAAAAGGGCTTTTAATGCTGCATTTGTATCTTTGTTATTGTGTCTTTTAAATGATCTTACACTGTTTTAAATTATGGATGTTTTTTACATGGTAGCCATTTTAAATAGGTGTTGTTTTACCTTTTGTATCATCAGGGTTTTAGTTGAAGATTGTTTTCATTTCGTTTTATATAAGCCACCTTGGGTCCCTTGCTGAGTGAAAGGCAAGCTACTAAATAAATAATATTTGCAGGTGGTTCTTTTTTTAAAAGGAAGCACACAGGCCTTTCTCAAGTTTGGTTACATATGAAATTGCTTCAACGTCCTGCCATGTGTTTAAATATTCATGTCTGGTATTTTCGACATGCCATCTACAATTGTTATTTGATCTCACCTTAAAAATTCTTGTTATCTTTAGTTCTCACCTTGCTTTCTGGCAATTTTATCTACCACTTTGCCTTGACTTATGAATAAGTATAGTGTATGTATTATGTTTACCAACTTCTTAGTCCACCAGAAGGATAAATTATTCCCTAGAAAATTCATGCAATAATAAATAGAGACAAGCTACTTGATCAGCATGCCCATGGGATGTACTTGCTGTTGCCATTTCCACTCAGGAGAGGATGTTTGTGTATTCCTTTGTGTGGAAAACCATCCGTAAATATTCTAAACTGTCATGCCAAAGAATGGCTAAGCTACAAATTTGCTTGTTTCATGGCTAAAATTTGATCTGTGATCCACTTTTACCATTTGTTCTCTTTTAGCCTTAGCATCCTTGCCTCTACAATTTATTGTTAAATAATGCTGACAGACACGTAGGATACACATAAAATTCCTCCTGGAAGGTTTAATGAGAACTGTTGCTGTAGTCTCAAATCGCTGTTAATATTATTGTTGTATTTTAATTGTTGTTTTTAATTTAATTGTTGTTTTAATCTGTAATTGGTTTAATAACTTTTTAAGGGGGGGAGGGAATTAGATTTGTTGTATTTGTATTGTATTTTATTGTTGTTAGCTGCCCCAATTGACCTCAATAAATAAATTGTTGTTGTTGTTGTTGTTATATTATAAAGCACTCAACTGTGCTAATGTTTTGTGTGCACCCTATAATATATTAAACACATTTAACTATAGGCACTATTAGTCTATTTCCAAATGACAACCTGGGTTCATCCCACATGTGGGGCAGCATTTATTATAAGTGCAAGAAAATGTACATGCAGAGAATTCGCACCACTAGCTGCTTTTTCCATGTCCTCTGTCACATCTGGTTTAGCCCTTGGGTAATACAGTCATTCCTCCGGATTCGGAGGGGATATGTTCCCCCACTGCGGATACGAAATTTTGTGAATACTCAAGTCCCTCCCTCCCTCTTTCCCTTACCGCCTTCCTCTCCCCCCCCCCCGACTTAGCTTTGCCATGGGGGGCCAGAAGAGGGCCTTCCTTCAGTCCGGCGGGAGTGAGGCAGGGGGAAGTGGCTGCTGGGGCCTGCAATCCGTGCCAACCACCATGAGTACTAGCTTTCCCGTGGCACTCTGGGCCTGGCGTGTGCACACCCTGCCTCCCTCCGCTGGAGGGAAGGAAGGAAGGAATGGGGATGGAAAGAAGCACGCAGGAGGGAGGAGAGCGGAGCCCGGGAAGGAGGAAGGAGAGTGCACATGGCAGCAACCTTGCAAATGATCAAAACCACAAGTGCCAAAGCCGCGAATCCAGAGGACGACTGTATATGTAAAACATTCTAAACATTCAAAATGCAATATAAGCCCTTGGCATTATGTATTTATTTGATTTTTTTAAAAATCCACTTTTTTATACGGAAGTGCACTCAAGGCCATTCACAACAACAACAACCACAATAAATCATCCTGCGGATCATGATACAAAAATCACAAAACCCAGATTAACAGCATTTAAAAACAACAACAACAACAAACTATCAGTTAGGACACCTGAAGAGTCCAAACTAGGAGAATGCATGCTGGAGAATCTTTCTCATTATACAACAGAATTATTATTGTTAATTACTCTTTACGACATACAAATTAAGGAGGTTAATGCATAAATATGATAATTATATGTTTAGGAAAGATTATTCTGTTTCTGTATTACAATAAGTCCATTTCTTAATTGAGGATTACACTGACCAGAAAATAAATAAGGAGATAGTGTTAGGTTGGAACAAATGGAGACCAGTGGAAAATAAAACAAAACAAAACTACAGGCCTCTATGTACTTGCTTAGATTTTAACTCTTCTCTGAAACATGACACTGTCAATGAGTTGAGACAAGCATTTTATTAAAACAATAGTGGACTGCAAGCATTCAGTACCTGAAGAACCTTTTCCAATACATACAGGAAGCCTTGTATAGAATACAACATAGCAACTGGATCCCTACAGCAAGATTTAATTTAGGAAATTACCACCACCACCACCCTTCTTGGTACTGTCCAAAACCTCCCATCATTCCCCCTACATTATTGGTATGAATGATGAAAGTTATAGCCCAACACATCTGGAGGATATGTGGCTAGTGGATCAAGAGCAAATGGGCAATGGATGAAACAATAGAGGTAGGAAAAAAACATGTGAAGATTTATTTGGTTGACAGGATTAAGAAGCAGCACATTTTCTGAAGATGGAAAAAGAGAATTGCGGTTTCTTCCTTCCTGTTTAAAAAAAAATTACTAATGAAGAACTTCGAACATAAGAATGCTTAGGGAGGAGATGTTCTACTTCTATGGCCCGAACATCAGATGCCACAGTAGTAATAGCAGGAAATCTTCAGAAACTGTTAAATTCAACGGTGAAAATGAGAATATCCCTACCTCCCAAATCACTTCTACTGCATTTTTCCGTGTTTCAGCTATTCTATGCTTCTTATTTCATTTTCCTCTTTAATGGGATCACACTTTTTTTGTGTTTGTTAGCAACTTCAGGGTTGCAAGGATAGCAATATTTCAAATGAGCAAAGGCAAACTGCAAGGACTGTGTTTTTGTTTTGTGGGCCTTCAAGTCATTTCTGACTTACGGCGACCCTAAGGCCAGGGGTAGGCAACCTTTCCCCTTTAAGGGCCGAGGGACTTCAGCTCCCAGAATCCCAGGAGCTATTGGCCAACATGGGACTATTGGCCAACATGGCTGAGGCTTCTGGGAGCTGAAGTCCTTCGGCCCTTAAAGGGGAAAGGTTGCCTACCCCTGCTAAGGCAGCAAATCTGTCATGGGGTTTTCTTGGCAAGTTTCTTCAGAGGGGGGCTTGCCACTGCCATCCTCTGAGGCTGAGAGAGTGTGACTTCCCCAAGGTTACCCAATGGTTTTTGATGGCTTTTTTATTCTCTCCGAAGATTTTGGAGACCAAGATTCATAACAGTGGAAGTTGAAACCTGGATGTCCCCAGTTCCCATTCAACACAACTGAAATACTGCAAACAATACTGGCCTTACAAGTCACATACACTACACTGTGGATGTATACTGCTGAGTAGAGTATTTCTGCCGACAGAGCTACTTAACATTATATCAATACAAGAAGATCTCTATAGGATCAGATCAAAGATCAATCTACTCCATCATTCATCTTCCCCACTAAATGCCCCTGGGAAATACAGAAAGAAACCATGTATCTCAAAGAGAAACACCAAGGCTTTTCTGAGATGCTATTGGAGTACAAAGAAGTCTTCACCTCTTCATGTAGAATGTCCCTGATCCCCATCACCCACTAAATGTGTTTTCCTTTTGTGATGGATGCAGCCTCAACCAAATTTGTATATGAATTGGTTCTATACTCACTCATGAACACAGATCATGAGAAGGAAATACATAATACCACAAAATAACAGGGCACTATCAGTTCCCAAAATAACCCTCGTATAATTAATTAATAAAAGAGCAGATAAAGGTAGAGCACTGGTGATATCAATTAAACACAAGATGCAAGAACACTGACAGTCAACAGGTTTTTATGGAGCTGCAAATGAAATGAGAGAATCATTCTTGTCAAAGGCGTATACCAGGGGTAGGCAACCTTTTGGGGCCAGGGGCCGGGTTGCTGTCCCTCAGACTATTGGGGGGCCGAAGCACCAAAAAAAAAATATATTTTTTTTTTAAAAATTAAAAAAATTAAAAAATATATATGCATGCACAATCTCTCAGCCCCAGAAAAGCCATGGCAAAACCCCTGTGGAGATTTTGCCAAGAAAACCCCAAGAACAAGTAATAACAACAATAATCAATATCATCATGGCAGGGGGTGGCGGCAGGACCAGCCTGTGGCCGATCCAATTGCCTCGGGGGGCCACATCTAGCCCCCGGGCCTTAGGTTGCCTACCCGGGCGTACACTATCATCCCACAGCCATCTCTTGTCAGGTTGACAGGTTTTCACCTTTCTGCAAAAACGTGTGCAAGCTTTTTGAAAAGAAATGGGAACAGGACATAAAAGGGGCATTTGCCCCATGGGAAATAATATCTGTACTAAGCTGCCTTCAGGTCTCTTAAAAACAGAGTTTCTGGTAGCCAAGCCAAAACTGAGAGTTGACAGGTCCCTACACTTTTCCTTCAACACCACCTGAAGGGCTGGGGTAGGCAACATGTCCTGAACATAGGATGGAGCTATTTGCATCATCTCCTCCAGCAGGCAAGGGCATATTTTTATGACAATCATGGAATGAAATTTACAAACTACTTCTCTCTGCCATGCAACAACTGACTGGGAGCTCTTGAATTTAGATGGCTGAATTCCTTTTCTAAAAACACATGTGCAAACACCACACCACAGAACATTACCAAACATGTATTCTACTTTTTGAATTTTCTGTATTCAAACTACTTGGACCTCCTGGTAATCACTGTATAATCTGGAAAGCCAAAGAGCATCTTCCTCAGTTGACAAGAATGGATTTAAATCATCCCCTGGACATTTTTTTCCTCCACACCTCCTTCACACAAGACCCTCTGAAATGAAATTAACCTTGGGCTAAAGGAATACAAGGGGCCTGAATAAAAAAGGCCTATTAAGGAAGCATAGCAAAGTCTAGCTTTTGTCAGGACACACTGGCCTCAAGGGGTCCAAAAGGAAGCTGAAGGATTCCTGAAATTCTTCAAGAGGGATAAAGAGGCAAATTCAGTAAAAGAAGACCCTAGAGCCATTAGTTTCCACATTCCGATGGCAAATTCTGAAAGGCCCCCAAAGAATATTATAGAATTAGTTTCTTACTGTGAACATAGACACTGTGTTCAAATGACCCTGCAAAGGAATGTTAACACAACCACACAGCAACAGGAAACTTCCAGGGATTGTTCTTACTACAATAGTATTGGCATTCATAAAAAGAGAAGGAGGAAGCCAAAAAAACTTGGATGACTGTTTATTTTGGAAATGTATCCATTCTGCCTTTATTTCCTATTATTTCCTGTTATAATCCTGCCCTTTGTACCTCCAACTCTTATCATTCTTGTCTTTCCCAAAGCCAACTACTCCCTTACAGCAACTCTACTTTCCCTCAGAAGACCAAGTTGAACCAATTCTCTATTTCTCCTTCAAATGTCTCCACAAAGCCCCATCTTTTCCTTCAAGCTTTTTCTGGCTTAGACCAGAATCCTGCCATACTATTTCCACATTATGCACTAATATAAGAGTCATCTTTCAAGAACATGAACCCACATTCCTGAAAGTTGCCTGCTTTTTCTGGACTCAAGTCAAAAGATCAATTCTGTACCTTTAAAGCCCTATATATTTTGGACCTCTGGACTAGGAGGAGTGCTTTTTCCAGCACTCCATACAAGATGTGAGATATGTGTGCATTATGCGTGCTTTCCAAGAATGTACTAGGAATAGTGATTCAGCTATCTCTAGAGGGGCAATACTCCTCTAAAGAACCAGGTTCATACAGGTGTGGTCTGCATTTGGCTTTGCATTTGGACACAAGAACTTGGCTAAAGTTTGGGCTGCTGCACCAGCAGTAGAGAACAGATTTCCTGAGGAAGTGAGGGACACATGGGTCTAACTTTGAAGAAAGTTGGGAGGCTTCAGTTGTCCTAAAATGCAACAGCAAGGGCTATACCACGCTCACCCTGTGATGCCTACATTGGCTGTCAGTTAGCCAGCATAATTCAACTGCTGGCAATTATCTTTAAAGCTTTATACCTCATTCTATAAGAGCTACTCCATTCCCTAATATAAAGCCTTCTTAAACTGGTGGCCTCCAGATGTTTTGGATTATAACTACTACCATCCCTGACCCATTGGCCATGCTGCCTGGGCTGTTGGGAATCAAACTCTAAAACAGTTGTCCCAAAACTTTTTTGGGCTATCACCCCCTTTCCTCTAGGGCAGGGGTTCCCAACCTGTGATCCGAAGAGCCCTTATGGCTCCGCGGCCGCTCCAGGAAAATGAAAGAAATAAAAATTGAATGAAATTAAAGAATAAGAATATATTCGTATATGTACTCCTAAACATCATTAAGTTGTAAGACATAGGGTAGGCCTCTTAGGGCAGTGGTCCCCAACCCCCCCGGTCCATGGCC